TATTATTATTTATAAATTTAGTTAATTTCTGAAAACTTTCTGATTTTGCGTTGGGTGCACAGCAGTTTATTATTTTGATACATTTGTTAGAATTCATGCCTCTCATCTACCAGTATTATCATTATACATTTCTCTAATATTTATCAAATCATCATCTTTCATTAGTATTCCCACTCCACTGATATCGTTTATCCTCTTACTAGAATATAATTTGCCTTTTCCAGAGTTTATTACTATTTATACTCATAAAAAAATCCTCTTAAACTGGCTACATAAAGCAGATGAGGTTCAGCATTGGATGAAGATGTGCAGTCTGTTTTTTTGCTTATTTTCTTAACTTTTGCTTCCCTTTTGGCAAATTTTTCCTGGCTCATTCTTTTTCTCATCTGTATGAGCCGACCCTCCATTTCAGAGTCAGAGCTGGGAGGGTTCAGCCACATTTTGGGGTGAGTAGGATGCATTCTTTGCTGAGAGGGGCTCCCTTTCCGGTCATTTGCTCACACTTTCTCTGGGGATTTCTGGGGATAAAGTCTCCATCTCTTTGGGCTTCATCATCCTACTGCTTTTTTGCTCCCCTTCATCTGAGCCGGAGCCCCTCTCTGTGCCAGCTCCACAGCATGGTCTTTAGCCTCCGGGGTAGTGCCCATTTTCTGACCACTCCCCGTCAGATCAAGGGTTGGACCCATTTTTGGAGCCCTCCCTACCTCTGAACCCCGTTCCAGCTCATTCTGAGCTTCATTAGCCTTAAGGCAGCTTTCCTCTGATTCTGGAGCTTTGGGCTCCTCCTCTACCAGCTCATCCATAGAGTCATCCATACTGGAGTGTGGCACACCATCTTCACTCTCAGCGACACACACACATTTATTGATCAGATAGCAGCAGGCTGCACATCTTCCTCCTTCCTCAATGTACTCCTTGCACAATGTCCATGCCCTCCACACTTGTGACAGTTAGAGTCTGGGCCCTCTCTGACCAAATGTCCTAGCTGCAGACATATATTCTGCACGCTTTCACCTGTCTGTTGTGTCTCACTCTAAAGCAGGAGTTTTCAAAGTGGGTGCCGCGGCACTTAGGGGTCATTACAGGGGTGCCGCAGGATTTTTTCATAGATTGATGAGAGTTTTATATTGAATGTTCATTTTTAGATTTAAACAATTTTATAAATTTATTTTGATGTAAGCAAATATATTCTAAGACGAGGGGCTTCATTTTTTTTGTTTTATTTACTACTTTGAAAAAATGACAGAAAAATAATTATTATCAAATAATACATTTCGGTTGAGGGGGCGTGGTGGCATCGCTTGTATACAGTGTTGCTATTACAGCGTTGCTATGACACCGTCCACGGTGGAGGCAAAACAACAATGGACAAGTTTGTGAAGCGAACCAGTTCAGATCCTTCGCGTCGGGACACACCCAAAGCAACACCTGAAGAGTCAACGGGAGCAAAGAGGTCACAAATGATTATTTTGTGGAAAATGGCCTTAACTGGCAGATGTGCGCAGGTGTATGTACTGATGGCGCTGCGTGCATGACGGGCCGAGTTAAAGGCTTTGTGACGAAAGCAAAAGAGAGAAATCCCACCATAAGAGTGACACACTGCATGCTCCACAGGGAGAGTCTTACTGCAAAAACGATGCCCCCTGATCTCACTGAGGTTTTGGATCAAGCGGTCAAAATTTTCAACTACATTAAGTCCTGCCTGCTTAAAACACGACTATTTGGCGCCCTCTGCAATGTAATGGGATCTGAACATCTGGGTCTCTTATTACACACTGAGGTCCGATGGTTATCAAGGGGTAAAGCATTGGCCCGTGTTTATGAACTAAGAGAAG